GTACACCATGCAGTCATACAATCTCCCTGATGTATGTCCTAGTTAGTTTCTCCAGCTTATCTGTTTCCTTTATTGGTAGGAAGTGCGCGGATTTGGTTAACCTGTCGACGATCACCCAGATGGTGTCAAGTCCACCTGCTGTCTTGGGTAATTTGGTTATAAAATCCATGGTTATCCGCTCCCACTTCCACTCGGGTATTTCTGGTTGTTGCAACAATCCCGAGGGCTTTTGGTACTCTACCTTGACTTTGGCGCAAGTCAGACATTTGCCTACATAGGTAGCGATTTTGGCTTTCATGTTTGGCCACCAATACAGGTTCTTGAGATCCAGATACATCTTATCCGATCCAGGATGTATGGAGTATCGAGTCTTATGGGCTTCATTCATGACAACATTTCTGAATCCGCCAAACTTTGGCGTCCAGATCCGATTCATGAAGTAACGAACTCCGTCATCCTTGACTTCAAGATTCTTATCCATTCCTCTTAAGGCTTCATCCACCACATTTTCGGATTTCAAGGCTTCTATTTGAGCTTCCTTGATTTGTGTGGACAGGTGTGAATGGATCGTTATAGTTAAAGATTTCACTCGGCGGCCCGAGTATTCCTTTCGACTGAGGGCATTAGCTACTACATCAGCTTTCCCGGGATGATAACGAATTTTGCATTCGTAATCGTTTAGTAGTTCTACCCACCGCCTTTGTCTCATGTTGAGTTCCTTTTGATTGAGGATGTGTTGAAGGCTTTTATGATCGGTGAAGATTGTACATTTCGTGTCGTAGAGATAGTGCCTCCAGATCTTGAGGGCGAAAACGACTGCTCCTAGTTCGAGATCGTGTGTAGTATAGTTGACCTCGTGCGTTTTGAGTTGTCTCGAGGCGTATGCGATGACCTTCCCTCGTTGCATTAGGACACATCCAAGTCCCTGGTTTGACGCATCACAGTAGACCACAAAGCCTTCTGTTCCCTCTGGCAAAGATAATATAGGTGCGCTGCATAGGGCTCGCTTTAGTGTTTGGAATGCAACGTCTTGTTTTTCTTCCCAGCTGAAGGTTACCCCCTTCTGAGTCAGGGTGGTAAGTGGCTTAGCAATCTTCGAGAAGTTTTATATGAACCTCCGGTAATACCCGGCAAGGCCCAAGAATTGTCGGATTTCTGTTGGAGTCCTTGGAGTTGTCCAGTTCTTGATTGCCTTTATTTTGGAAGGGTCCACGTGTATCCCCTCCTCGCTGACCACGTGACCTAGGAAATCTACATTCCTAATCCAAAATTCGCACTTTGAGAATTTTGCGTATAGCTTCTCTGTCCTTAATGTTTCTAAGACCAGTCGGAGGTGTTGGCTATGTTCCTCCTTGCTCCTTGAATAGATGAGTATATCATCTATGAACACGATCACAAATTTGTCCAAGAAAGGACGACACACTCGGTTCATCAAGTCCATGAACACCGCCGGTGCATTTGTCAATCCAAAGGGCATCACTACAAACTCGTAGTGACCATAGCGAGTTCGGAATGTCGTTTGGGAATGTCTCCTTCCAGGACTCGCAGCTGGTGATACCCAGATCTTAAATCGATCTTTGAGAAGTAGCTCGCTCCTTGTAGTTGGTCGAACAGATCGTCTATGCGCGGTAAGGGGTATCGGTTCTTGATTGTGAGTTTGTTTAGTTCCCGGTAATCGATGCACATGCGAAAAGATCCGTCCTTCTTCTTTACGAACAGAACCGGTGCTCCCCAAGGTGAGAAGCTCGGTCTGATGAATCCTTTGCTTAGAAGTTCGTTCAGTTGGCTAGATAATGCCTGCATTTCTGCCGGTGCTAGACGGTACGGCGATTTTGCTACTCGGGTAGCTCCGGGAATCAAGTCGATCCTGAACTCGACTTGACGTTCTGGTGGGACTACTAGAAGATCTTTAGGGAAAATGTCGGGGAAATTACAGACTTCCGGAATGTCTTTAATGTCTTTCACTTCTCGTTTCTTGTCTACCACGTGGGGCTAGGAGGGCATGATATTCCTTGCGAAGGTATTTTTGGGCTTTGACGCAAGAGATAATTTGTAAATTGGTATCGGGTTTATCCCCATAAATGATAAGAGTTTTGCCGATTGGCAGATTAAGGCGAACGACCCTTTCGTGACAAAGTATATCGGCATGGTGAAGGCTTAACCAATCCATAGCGATGATGACATCAAAGCTTCTTATAGTGATCGGCATTAGATCGATTTGGAACGAGTGTTCATTTAAATCTAACGTGCAACCTATGTACATATCGTTTGTGCTTTCTGTCTTATTGTTTGCCATTTCTACTGTAAAGATCTTATTAAGTGCTTGGGGTTTTTGATTAAGTAAGTGTTTGAATTTATGACTCACGAAACTTCTCTCGCAGCTACTCACTGCTTTTACATGTCCTGATGGACTCTTTCAATGGAAGGTACTACCCTTTGGGCTTAAACAAGCTCCTAGTATTTTTCAAAGACACATGCAGAACGCCCTACGAGGTCTTGAAAGTTTCTGTACGGTATACGTTGATGATATCATGGTCTTCAGCAAAAATGAACAAGAACACTATGTTCATGTTACCCAGGTTCTCAGAACCATTTTAAAATACGGAATAATACTTTCAAAAAAGAAAGCTCATCTTTTCAAAACAAAAATTAATTTTTTGGGTTTAGAAATAAATGAAGGCACTCATTGTCCCCAAAAACATATTCTTGAACATTTACATGATTTTCCAAATGTTTTAGAAGATAAAAAACAACTGCAAAGATTTCTTGGTGTTTTAACTTATGCTGAAACATATATTGAAAAACTTGCAGCCATGAGAAAGCCCTTACAGGCAAAATTAAAAAAAGATGTCATTTGGAATTGGTCAAATACCGATACAGATTACATCAAAAAGATAAAGAAAATTTTAATCAATTTTCCAAAGATTTATCTTCCGAATATTGAAGACAGTTTAATTATTGAAACTGATGCTTCTGATGAATTTTGGGGAGGAGTTTTAAAAGCCAAAAATTCCAAAAACGAAGAACAAATTTGCAGATACACCTCTGGCAGTTTCAAAACAGCCGAGAAAAACTATCATAGCAATGAAAAATAATTACTTGCTGTAAAAAGAGTTATTACAAAATTCTCTGTATATTTAACACCGGTAAAATTCCTGGTCCGTACAGATAATAAAAATTTTACTTATTTTCTCCGAACTAAGATCGCAGGAGACAACAAATTAGGCCGACTAATACGTTGGCAAGAGTGGTTCTCTCGATATACTTTTACTGTAGAATATCTTGCAAAAGATAAAAATGTGCTGGCAGACTGTCTCACACGTGACTTCAGGTATGTCTTACATCATCCATGATCTCACTTGCTCCTCTCGAACCCTATAAAAGGATATGATCCCCACGACATATTCCTTACAAACTTCACTCACAAAAAGAGAGGGGGAGGATAAAGAGTAAATTTACAAAATGGAAGACCTCAAATCCCTGAGGATGAAGACGACTTTCATGCAAATCTCTTAATAAAACAAGACCTGTTTGGATTTCAATGATGCAACAATGTATCTATAAATTGAGAGTTATGTTTTCATTTTAAGATATCGCAAGAACGAGGGCAAGAAAAACACTCCCTATTCTGTAAATTTTAATGTCTTGTGAGTAAAATCTCCTTTAGAAGGGAGAAGATGTAAAATATTGTAAGAGTACTCCCATTTCGGGAGCTCTTTTATCAATAAATCCATGTTTTGTTATACTTGAGTGTTCATACAAATAGATTCATGAAACCTGTAAGTGACAGAGTGTCAGGTCGACGATGGTCAACAGTACCGCAGGCATGAGGCCAACTGGGAAAGCAACCACACAGACCAACGGATGACACAGGCTGGCTTGAATAGTTTCTATCTATGTAAGTAATACTCCTACTCCGAAACACTTATTGATTAATGAGTTTTCTCTTTACAATTTTTATATCTATTCCCTTCTTAAAATCCCACATACATACTTTTCAAATCCAAACAAACAAACCCACTTTACTAATCCAAACTGGTATCAGAGCCTTGTTAAAAATGGCATTACATTATAATATTGTAAAATATCGAGGATGAAATTTATTTGTTTGTTTGGATTAGTAAAGTGGGTTTGTTTGTTTGGATTTGAAAAGTATGTATGTGGGATTTTAAGAAGGGAATAGATATAAAAATTGTAAAGAGAAAACTCATTAATCAATAAGTGTTTTGGAGTAGGAGTATTACTTACATAGATAGAAACTATTCAAGCCAGCCTGTGTCATCCGTTGGTCTGTGTGGTTGCTTTCCCAGTTGGCCTCATGCCTGCGGTACTGTTGACCATCGTCGACCTGACACTCTGTCACTTACAGGTTTCATGAATCTATTTGTATGAACACTCAAGTATAACAAAACATGGATTTATTGATAAAAGAGCTCCCGAAATGGGAGTACTCTTACAATATTTTACATCTTCTCCCTTCTAAAGGAGATTTTACTCACAAGACATTAAAAATTTACAGAATAGGGAGTGTTTTTCTTGCCCTCGTTCTTGCGATATCTTAAAATGAAAACATAACTCTCAATTTATAGATACATTGAGAGGGTCTGATAATTGCCTATTATGTCAGGCATGACGTTTCTATCCACTAACAATTACATTATTGTGGACAGCTGGAAAGCTTCTAATAATGTAGGAGGCATTATTTTCTTGAGTGGCGGGGGCCATTTGACGCGTGAAGCATCTTTCTTTAAGATGATGAAGATTTGTCATCTTCAGAGAAGGGACCCTCCTTTGTCGTGGAATCACTGCAATTGCAGTAGTTGCAATGATGGTCTTCAAACAACTGCTCCGCATGCTTACAGAAAATTTGTCTTGTAGTGGTAGGTGCATCAAAGTTGTTGTTCATGAACTGTTCTCCGAATTTGGATGCTCGTTCAAGGTCTTCGTTGCTGGTGTTGCCATAGCTCCAGCTGGTGATTATACAGTGTGAATTTGTATAATTAACTTTTTTCTTTGATCTTTGAGATTATCTCAATGATCTTTTCAGAAATTCTTCTAAGGCCGTTGATACGATTTTGATGAAGGATTTCTTCGAACGGGAGATCTTTGTCTTCCGTTGGTCGAGATTGTTCGATGTCTTTTTTGGCTTTTGCTAAGCCAATTTCTAGATAGTGATAAGGGGCAAGTGTTGCTCCTTGAATCCAATCTGGAAGAGAGGAGATGACTCTGATATAAATTGGATCATCTCTTGCTTTGAGAACTTTCTTTCGGAAGTTCTTAATGGTTTCTATCATGCTGGATGGGAAGAACTTTAGTTCTTGCAAATTGCAGCTTGGATAGATGTTGTCTATTAATCCTGCTGAAAAGGCTTGTTGGATTAATCTTGGATCCGCTCCTTCAAGGAAGTTGTACAGACTTTTGGTTTTCTTATCTGTTGTGAAAAATCTCTCATGGATAAGATCTTCTGGGCATGTCGCTCTAGCTTTGCTCCAGATTATTCTGAAATCTTCAAAGGAGATTGCAGGGTTGTTGGCTTCATATTCGACGTCATTTGGGATGTCAAATCTTTGGTCTCTGAGTTCTTCTTTGATCTTCCGAACTTTCGGCTTTAGAAGAGGATTTTTGGTTTGATTGGCTTCGTCATTGAAGGTGGCAAAACTAAGTCGTGCACTTGTTTCATTTCTGAACTTTTTGCATGTTACTTTATCGACCTTGCAGAAGGTCTCTGTAATCCCCCAGTCTGTATGTATTCCGGCGTGTGGCCCTTTGTAGATTACATAGAATCTTTCAGCTTCTTTGTTAAGAGCCTTTTTGTAATCTGGTTTAAGCTCCTGCACAGATTCGTTAGTGGGTGACAAAATTGTCATTTTACTGATTCCTTCAGTACAAGGGTTGGAATTAACCAACAAGCTAGTTTTTCCTTCTGGAAGAGGAGTAGCTGTCTCCTTTATTATGCTTTTAAGCAAAGCATCAGCTTTCAACGGATTTGTTGTTTCTTTACCAGATACCGTTTGCACTGGAATAGCCTTTGTTTTTAAGCTTTCGCTTTCCGGTACATCGGTGACCGTTGTTACTTGTTCATACAAGTTGATTTTTTGTTCGATTGCTGATAGCTCTATGAGGAGCATTTGTTTCTTCATCCTCAGGGATTTGAGGTCTTCCATTTTGTAAATTTACTCTTTATCCTTCCCCTCTCTTTTTGTGAGTGAAGTTTGTAAGGAATATGTCGTGGGGATCATATCCTTTTATAGGGCTCGAGAGGAGCAAGTGAGATCATGGATGATGTAAGACATACCTGAAGTCACGGGTGAGACAGTCTGCCAGCACATTTTTATCTCCTGCAAGATATTCTACAGTAAAAGTATATCGAGAGAACCACTCTTGCCAACGTATTAGTCGGCCTAATTTGTTGTCTCCTGCGATCTTAGTTCGGAGAAAATAAGTAAAATTTTTATTATCTGTACGGACCAGGAATTTTACCGGTATTAAATATACAGAGAATTTTGTAATAACTCTTTTTACAGCAAGTAATTCTTTTTCATTGCTATGATAGTTTTTCTCGGCTGTTTTGAAACTGCCAGAGGTGTATCTGCAAATTTGTTCTTCGTTTTTGGAATTTTTAGCTTTTAAAACTCCTCCCCAAAATTCATCAGAAGCATCAGTTTCAATAATTAAACTGTCTTCAATATTCGGAAGATAAATCTTTGGAAAATTGATTAAAATTTTCTTTATCTTTTTGATGTAATCTGTATCGGTATTTGACCAATTCCAAATGACATCTTTTTTTAATTTTGCCTGTAAGGGCTTTCTCATGGCTGCAAGTTTTTCAATATATGTTTCAGCATAAGTTAAAACACCAAGAAATCTTTGCAATTGTTTTTTATCTTCTAAAACATTTGGAAAATCATGTAAATGTTCAAGAATATGTTTTTGGGGACAATGAGTGCCTTCATTTATTTCTAAACCCAAAAAATTAATTTTTGTTTTGAAAAGATGAGCTTTCTTTTTTGAAAGTATTATTCTGTATTTTAAAATGGTTCTGAGAACCTGGGTAACATGAAAATAGTGTTCTTGTTCATTTTTGCTGAAGACCATGATATCATCAACGTATACCGTACAGAAACTTTCAAGACCTCGTAGGGCGTTCTGCATGTGTCTTTGAAAAATACTAGGAGCTTGTTTAAGCCCAAAGGGTAGTACCTTCCATTGAAAGAGTCCATCAGGACATGTAAAAGCAGTGAGTAGTTGCGATTCTTCATCAAGTAGGACCTGCCAGAAACCAGATTTGCAGTCGAAACTTGAATAAATATTTTTTCCCCGTAATAGGGTTAAGAGTTCATGCATATTAGGGAGATTATGGGAATCTCCAATGGTTGTATCATTGATTGCTTTGTAGTTGACAACCATGCGTTTCTTTCCTCTTCTTTTCTCAGCATCTTTGTTAACAAGAAAAGCAGGGGACATATGAGGAGATTTTGATTCTTTGATTAATCTTATATCAAGTAGTTCTTTGATTTGTTTGGAGAATTCTTCTCTATCTTGTGGAGAGTAAACCATAGGTTTTTCTCTGATAATTGTTTTAGGATTAATGAGCTTGATTGAAGCCTTCATCCATCCTTTGGTTTTTTCTGGATCAATAGGATTTTCAGAACAAACTTTTTCAAGAAGATCTTCTATCTGTTTGAAAAAGGTGGTTTGGGCAGAAATAATCCTTTCTCCAATAATTCCTTCTTGGGTTATATTGGTACCCAGAATTTGTTTTTCTTTAGAACCCTTTTTCTGGGTTTCAAGAAAACTTGGTTTTCCTTTACTAAAGGCCTCAGTAACCTTTTTTACAATTACCATATCGTTGTTAAGATGAAAGGCAATTCTATCTATCCATTGTATAAATGGTCCATAGACTTGGCAGAAGTTGTTGCCAATTACAACATCAATTCCTGAGTCTTGTTGATAAATAGTGGGAACGTTGAAATGTTCTCCTGAAAGCTCGAGATTAATGTTTCTGCAAACTTTATTAATTTTTATAGTGTCACCATTTGCAATAGTAGCGACAATTTCTTTGGGAGCATTTTCCTATAGTTCGTCAGGAATGATGAACTTGCTTGCAAGACATAAGGATGCACCTGTGTCTACAAAACAGTGTACCCTAAATTTCTTATATCCTTTGAAGTTAAGGAAAGCAGAAACATAAATAGAATTTGGATTAGTGAGATTCATGAGAGAATCATTATTTTTCTGGAGGTTTGCACAAAATTGGTTAACCTCACCCGTCTTAAAAGCCGGAGTCTGTTTAAGGCTATTCTGAGTCATCAGTAGTTGCTTCATCTTCTTCTGAGGATGACGAGGAATTAGTATCAACATGTAGAATGAAAACACATTGTATACCGTTGTATTCTTCTTCAAGAGCTTCATAGCCTCCGTTATTAGCGGCTTGTAATACTTTGACCTTGTCAGGGTACTTTTTCCTATTTGGACATTCATTAGCGTAGTGTCCTTCTTCGTTGCAAATCCAACACCTGCATTTTTTCTTTCCTTGTGGGCAGGAAGTATTCTTTTTAGGTGTTTCTTTCGAAGATTTTTTGAAGTATTTTCCTGGAGAAAATCTTCTCTTTTTCTTCTTCCAAAAAGATTTGTATTTCTTTTTGTTTTTATCTTTATACTTATTCTTAGTATAAGTTTTTCTTCCGATATCAAAATCTTTGAAATCAGACAGAATGTTACAACAATCCTTGCTTATAGTTTTAAGCTTTTGTTGTTTATACATGTCTTGACATATTCTGTCAATTTCTTCTTTTGCAATTTTTGTTGCATAAGAAAGACTGGTTTGCTGAATTTCTCCAATGGCTTCTTTTTTCCATCTTTCAGTACAGATTTCTCCAATGATTGGTATTTTCATAAGATAAGCACATATCCATTGTGAATATTCACATCTCTGTGGAATATCATAAAGATATGATTCATATCTACATGTGTATTTGTCAAGGAGGCAAATATCATGTAACTGGAGTTTTGTCATTGAGACTCTTGCTATGTCGACTTTCTTATTTATAGTGAAGTCTTTATTGGAGACATAATCTAGTCCTAAGAAGGTAGTGTAAATGACATTTATAAGATTATCAAAAAGGTCTAATCCATGTAATTCTTCATTCCAATTATTATTTCTAAGGAATTTTTGCACAATTCCATCAGTCTTGTGTTCTAAAAGTAGGAAAACATTTTTTGCATTTCCAAATTCATCTGGGTTTGTTTGTAAGATTAGTGAAATCTCAGTAACCCATTTTTCTATAACTCTTTCTCTGAGTTTTAAGTCCTGGATATAATCAATATTGAGGACATTGATTGTATTGGGTCCTTTACCACTATTTGGAATACCATTATGGACAGGCATTTTGAACTCATAGTTCTTTTTCTTCTTTCTCTCGCCTCTGTTTGTGGCCATATATGAAGATTATGCTTCCATTTCTTCGTTGCTATCTGAGTATTCGAACTTGACAGCGTTTATGTTAGGATTGTCTTCCTGTTCTGATTCGGTATCAGGTTCATTTGCTTTAGCTACTTTAAAGTATTGATCAAAAAGTTGTGGCTCTTTTTGATATAGTTCTTCGCATTCTTCAGTTTCCAAGGATAGAAGCTGAATGAGTTTTTGGTCAGGTTTATCATAGTCTTCATACTGAAGATTAAAGAAATATTTCTCGAACTGCTCGTAGACTTTTTCTTTCATTGTTTCTCCTTCCTAAAGATATCAATCTTCTGGGAGTCTTTTGAGCTACCTAAGTCTGGGTTTCCAATACTAGGATTGGGAGGTGAGTATTTCTTAAGTCCTGAGTATTTTCCCGGTTTGGTTTTTTGCTCTATAATGGAAATATTCTTGATGTGTTCAAGAATGTCTTTATTACAAGGGCAAGAATCAATCTTTTCAGACAACTCTTTAGTAATGTCTGCAATAATTTTTGCAAATGCAACTTCTAACTGGTTAGTGATTACGTATTTATTGACTGTTAAGTCGAGGTTTATGTTCAGCCCAGCTATTTTTTCTTCAAGGAGGTTGATCGATCTATTGAGCTCGGTTAAGCTCATCCTATCAGTTGTTTTAACTGGTCTTGTATACTAGTGATCTTAAGGTTGGTTTCCTTAAGAGTGCCTTCAATATTTGCTCTTCTGGCAACTTCTTCCACAAACTGATTATTTTTTAAAGAGTTTTCTAGGAGGATAGAATGTTTATCAATAGATTGGGTTAATTTAATAGTCAACCTAATTTGTTTTTCGATTGTTTCGAATAATTTTTCAAAATCTTTTTTGTCAAGATTATTTTTAAGGAAAGCTAAATCACTTTTAAATTGGTTAAAAGGTATTTTATTTTTTGAAATATTTGTAGAAATATCTTTTGAAACACCAATGTAATGGCTTATTTTTGAAGTCTTTAAAAGACATCTTGCAATGATCTGGTTGAGATTATTGCAATGATTTACAATTGTTTGAATACCAGCTTTTCCAGAAGTAGAGAAAACGTATTCTTTCTTTTCAGTATTGTCGTCAAGAGTTTTAATTTTGACTGTTTTACCTTTTTTATAAAAATGAGGAAAATCTATTTTATTACTCATTTACAATCTCAGTGATTTGTTTGATATTTTGACGTAGGCTATCAATTTTTAAAGACATGTTTCTTATTAAGTTACTAACTTTTCTTTCTGAGCTTTCTCCTAAGTGAAGTGAATCCATAGAAATTCTTGGTCTAAGAGTTTCATCTAGAGCTTTTTTGTTTCTAGCTATGTTTAAAACCCAAGAGTTTTCTTGAGGATTTATGTCGCAGAATTGCTTATCTTTGACATGGCCGATTTCTGAGAAGATGTCATCAAGTTCAATATACTCGTCTTTCTTGTAGTCTATGCTATGGTGACTATTGGTCAGGGCATATCCTATGAGATAGGTTATTGTGAATGGTTTATCACATGGACTCATAAGGTCACTTCTCTCAAAGTGATGTATAAAAGATATGGTTTTATCTATATTTGCAGATTTTAAATCCAGAGCAAACTTTGGATAGACTGAAAACATAAACTTTTGGTAAGCAAGGTTTCCTTTGGCAGCACCTAAGATGCAGTCATGTCGGTCAGTGATTCTGTTGTCAATTAAGGCCATTTTTATGGGAGAATTTATTCCTGCTTGGAATTGGGATTTTATCAAAAATTTTACAGCTCCGATATGGACCATTCTTATTTTTGATCTAATCTCAACTGGAATATTTTTCAAGTTATTGTTTATTTGTTCCTTAGTCAAAAGGGGTAGGAAAACAGCTCCTATTGTATCTTTTATGTCTACAGACATTTCTTTAGTACTAAAAAAGTAGAAAATTTCATTTTTCCTCTTGAGAGGGTTTAAGATACTAAGTTTAGAAGGAACATTCTTGAAAATGTTTTCTTTCTTTATTTTTAAATCTGTTTTCTTAACTCGAGAGAGAAGGTCTTGTTTTATTAAGAGATTTGCATGAAAGCCGTCTTCATCCTCAACATAAGTTAAGATTTGTTTTTCTTCTGAATTATTTTCTTCAGAATTGTTGAAATTTTTTTATTCATTTTAAGAGATGCTTAGCAACTCAAAATCCTCTTTCTGAGTTTTGAAACTGAGTTTAAAGCTCTATCAAGGTGTTCTTGATATGTTTTTTGCCTGTGAAGGAGATACTTACGTATAGTAACCATGGTTGGTATATATTCGTGAGTATGTTTATTTTGTGCTTGTAGAATTCTGAAATTTATATGCACTAAATTTTTCTTATTATTGAAAATCATTTCTTTATGATGAGAAATTTCATCCTCGATATTTTGAATTTCTTCAAACACTTCACTGTAAAGTGTTTTATTATAATGTAATGCCATTTTTAACAAGGCTCTGATACCAGTTTTGTAAGTTTGTTCTCTCGTAAAAATGAATGTTTTCCCAAGTTTCTGTCTATCTTTACTAGAAAATAGTTTGCATTACTTTTATGTGAGAATATCACTATATGAATGTAATGGGAAAATGAAGATGTACAGTAGTATTGTATAAAGTAACTACTAACTACCTTAAAACCAATTTGTTAAATTAAGGTTAAATGTGATGAGGTTACAACCATGCTTGATTGACTAGTATAAAGTAACTACTAACTACCTGAAAAGAAGATAGATGATCTCTTATCTGAGAGAGTTGTTGTAAAAAGCTGTGTTTCAGATGTGAACTCATTGCTGTCTAATATCATTGACGCTTGTGATCCTTTGATCCCTATCACTATTCAGAATCGGAAGCATCTGGCAGACAAGCTCAGGCCTGCATTCACAATTCTCAACAGGCTTGAAGGTGTTTCGTAGTCCACAGTCCTTCCGAAACAACTGGGAGAGACTACGAAAAATCAATCAACGAAAGAACCAACCCCAAAGGATGTTGGTACTTCTGTTAATACCGATGAACCTAAGTCAACAAACGAACCGCAGGGTAATGTATCTTCGTGTTCAAGAGGAAAGGAGAAAGTGATAGAAGATGAAGAAGAGAAAGAACATGAAAACGAGAAACTAAACTGCAAGGCTTGTGATGCAGTTATAGATGAAAATATGCGCATTGAGACAGAAGCAGAAGAAAAAGAGAAGGTTGGACGTGAGGCTCATACTGCTTTAGCTGCAAAGAAACTGTTATATCCTCCTTGGTCCATGGAGTGAATTTTGAACGAAGCAGTGGATAATCCAAGCCTTCACTGGTTGGAGCCAATTACTTCATTTGAACTGGAGAACACTCTTGATTTGCAACTCTATTTCCCCATCACACCGAAATCATTCCTATTTCATTGTTTTGAGGTTATTGCGAACGCTCCAGATGCTGATGAAAATGTTGCTAAGTCACTGATGACTTTTTACTTGAAGTATAGCAAACCTCAGTTCCAGACCTGGAGTTCGCAGAAGATAAATGTCGTCAAAGTTCTTGGTATTCAAACCGAGAGTTTCATTAATATTAAATTCAAAACCACTCGAGGTTCTGCGAATTCAGTGTTTGAATTCTCTGTTGCAGACTTACCATGCTTACATCCTTATGATTGGATCATCCTTCTGCATTTTTTGAGGCAAAATGAGAAGAAATACGAACATGTTGTTACTCACATCAAAAGGATGTTGGTTTCGTATATATATGAAGTTGCGAAGTTTGATGTTGAAATCACTTCGGTATTACGAAAGAAACCAACAGTCCTTCCCCAAGGCTCAACAAGTGATATTGAGAAGATGCAAATGAGGAAAATCAAAACTAATAACTGGACAATTATGTTTCAGAGAGGTTGAAGAGAGAGAGGAGACATTCAGAAATGTATGTTCGCACTACCAGATAAGCATATGTTTTCTATAGTTTGCTTGAACTACATTTTGGACATCACAAGCAGTTGCAATGCAAACAATGATGCTGCGAAGAAGTGTTATTCCGACATGATTCGCTGGTACATTGCCTTTCACAACACTCTTCTCAGTGTTATGCCCAAACTATTCAAGACTCTGAAGTGCGTTTAACAATGAAGTTCTTTCTCCCAATCGATGAAAAGTGGGAGATTGTTGGGTATTTTGTGTTGCAACTTTATGGGCTTTTGTTTAGTCTATTTTGTATCTGGGTTGGGCCTGTCCACCCATGATTTATTAATTAGGGTTTAGTTATTTAAGGTGCATGCATGCACCGTATCTTAAAATCGTCTTTTGCATTGAAAACCCTACATACCTTTACAGTAGCAGTTCTTAATCGAGCTCTTCTAAGGTTATGATATTGAATCATACGACACATTTGATATTCATTCTTTGTTCTTAATCTGTTTACCTGTTTGAATCTATCGATTTTTAGAGTTTTATTCTCATCATATACCAAATAGTGTTACACCATGAAACATTATCATCTTGAGGACGAATGGTGTCCCAAACCAATTTAGAAGAAAAAGGCCTAAAATTACCTTTAATATCCTTCCAAAGAATACAATCCTAATAATTCAAATTACCCTTGAAGATAGGTTGCTCCAACAATACAATCACAACCAAATTATTAGGCTAACTGATATCACCATTAACCCTTATATTATCAACAAAGGATTGGTCATTATATCCTTCAACAAATCTCATTCTACGATTGATACAATTCCTAATAATCCCACTTGGATGCCAATAATCATGCCAATAAAATTCACGAATTTGAAAGGATTGATGCATGATGCCGAGGAGGAGGTTCATTATAGTACCGATTATGGCTATGAGATGGATTTTGGATGTGGATGGTTGTTTCTTCACCTACTCCTGTCCAGAGGACTGGAAGGTTAGGTCCGCCCTGAAACTCCTTCGACTGGGCACGAAGGATTGGTGGAACATGGTGACCGGTTCCTATACTCCTGAGCAGAGGACTGCTGTTACTTGGGAGCAGTTCTAGGAGATGTTCCACACGAGGTATGTT